TAATATATACAATATATATAATATATACAATATATATAATATATACAATATATAAAATATATACAATATATACAATACATAATGTATATAATATATGATATTTATAATATATATAATATACATATAATACAATAATAAATGAAAAAATATATATATAATATTTAGTATATTTTATAAATTACATATATACTATATGTATAATATATAATATATACAATGTATATATAATATATATGATATATACAATATATAATATATTATATATATAATATATATATAATATAAAATAATTACAATATATACAATATATATATAATAAAATATTTATAATATAATATATATAATATATATAATATATATAATATATATAATATATATAATATATATAATATATAATATTTAATGTATAATATAATATATATATAAATAATATATATATAATATATATATTATATATATATAATATAATATAATTACAATATATACAATATATAATATAATTTATATAATATATATAATATATATTATAATATATAAAATATATATAATAGATATAATATATATATAATATAATATATTTCAGATATAAAATATTTAAAATATCAAAAATATTTTGAATATATAATATATAATACATAATGTATAATATATAATATATAATTTCCAATATATCAAAAAATATAACTTAAATATAATGTAATATATATCAAATATGCAATATATAACATGTAATACAACAAATATATTACATATATGATTTGTAATATACATATATATAAATAATATGTAAAAAAAATAAAATATATAATATATAGTTTATTTAATGAAAAAAATATATATAATATATAATCTAGATAATATTAAAAATATTTGGTATATAAAATATATAATATGTAATATATTCAAAAAATATATATATTTAATATGTACTATAAAATATATGTTAGATAATATATACATATATAAAATCTAGTATATATAATGTAAAATATATAAAACATAATATTTCATATATTTATATATATAATTTATATTATTTATAATATATAATACATAATGTATATCATTAAATATGTAAAATATAACATATACATATATCATGTAATATATATATATCCTGTAAAAAATATTATGTAATACAACATATATTACACATATAATATGTAATATATATATATATATCATGTAATATAATATATATAATACACTATATATCATTTCTTTAATATAAATACAATATACATAATATATAATCTAAATAATATATTCAATGTATGATATACAATTTATTTAATATAAATATAATATATAAAATATATAATCTATATAATATTTAAAATATATTTAAAATTAAATATATATAAATATATATAATATATATAATATATATAATATATGTTTTTAATGTAAATATAAGGGTACTGGGGAATAACCGTGCCCCCTGGAACTGATTTGTTTATATGCTTTGATTCATTTAATTCTCCAGTGCCCATGCAGACATGTACACATTTTAATATATATATATATAAATAAAAATACCACAATTCTCAAAGCTTGGATACAGAAAACTTTGCAAACTTTGCAAAGTTTTCTGGATTCAAGATTCAAGATTCAAGATTCTGAGGGAAACTTTTTGAATCCCAAGCCTTGGGTCTGGATGAGGGAAGTCTGAAAGGATGATTCTGATTCAAAAAGTTTCTCCTAGAATCTTGAATCTTTGAGCATGCAGACGGGTGGTCAGGACACACCAATTTCCATTGCTGCCTTCCAGAAGATTGGTTTACCTCATCAGTCGTTTTTGCTATGAAGGCATTGAATACGCCCCTGTTGGTGCCCATGCATTTGAAAGACACTCTTTGTCTGCGAGGGCTGCTTCTTTGCCAAGCACTGAAGCTCTTTCCAACGGTTTCCAAGTGCCCTGCAAATTCTCGTCACAAAGTCAAGTTGGAAGAGACTGGGGATCGTTTCCAATGGACATGCTCCGTGAGAGGCCACAAATGCTTTCGAGCTAGTCTTTGTCCAGTAAGTTCGCTTTCAAATGTGAGGCTCAATTCTTGGCTGGCTTTCTTGTACTTTGTCAATGGCCTGAGACTCAATATCCGTTGGACGAAGCTGACTACGGACATTGAAGAGATCTTTGGTGCCCATGATACCAAAACATTGCGGCGGTGGGGGGGATTGTACCAAGATGCTCTCGAACTTTACCTCAAGAAGTATGGCCAGCTTGTGCTAGGCTCTAAAGCTGGTGATGTCGTTGTCTTTGATGAGACGAACATGGGACAGCCTCGTGGGATATCAAAGGCCGCTACCACCAAGAAGACCCATCACAAATCCAACAAGATCCAGAGGGATCGTATTGTGAAGCGTTTGCCTGCTCGAACTTTCCATCGGCCAGCAAGTTGTCTTCGTCGCCCTGCTGCCTCTTCATCAACTTCTGCTCGCAAGCGGCCTGCTGCTGTGATGAAGTCAATCTACAACAAAGGCATTGCTGGGACGTCCAAAGACCAACGGACTGGGCGTTGGCTCTTTGCTGCTGTTCTTGTTGGCAACAAGGCAACCCGATACACTCATGACAATGGTTGCAAAAGGTTCAGCTTCCATATTATGGACCTTCCAAAGACAGCACCAGACGGCAAGCCCAGGGGCATCAAGAGCATGAAAAAGGCCATCTTGAAGTGCATTAGCCTAAAAGCATTTGTGGTGCATGACAAGTGGAAGGCCTCTTCACCGGCTCTGGCTGACATTGGGTTCAAATCCGCGCCGCCTGTGAACCATAGCCAGGGATGGCGAGACCGTGCAACGGGCTTTCACTCCAATGACATTGAAAGTGAATTCTCCCGATTGAAAAGGTATGTGAGAGAGCGTTATGGCCGCCTATCCTTCCAATGCCAAGGGGCTGACGACGCAGAGGAAACGGATGCCGTGGATGCCGGAGATCTCTATGAGTATACATTCAAAACGAATGTAGGGAATAGTTTCTTCGATGTCTTGAAGGCCTTGCAAATTAAGTCACCTTGTTAGCTGGATGTCTGAAAACGACGCGTCTGGGGAAAACACAAATGGTGCGATATCGTCTGTTGATTTGTCTTCTTGTCTTCTAGTGCAATCAGAGCATCATGCAGTATCGCACAGCACATCAATGTCAAGGCTGACGTCAAAACATTTGGCAGTGCATTATCTGCTCATTATGCAAAAAAGCCAGGTCTGCTACTACACGAATGGACTTCAAAGGCATGGACACAAAGGCAACTGCTTCTGAACCATTTACAGGGGGCACGGTTATTCCCCCGAACCCAAATATAATATACATATAATATAATCTATTATATAAAATATATAATATAATATAATATATATATATATATTAATTATTTAATATAAATATAATGTATTTCATATAAAATATAAAAAATATATATAATATGTAATCTATATATAATCTCACTTCACCAACGCTGTTTGCCCTGCTGCACCTCTCGAGCACTTCCAAGGCTTTGCGCCAGGCGCTGGATCGCGCGCATGCAGCGATGCAGACGTTGCAGGCGTTGCATCGGGGACCCGACCTGGCCAACCTGGCCGACCTGGCACGGTGACGACATGGAGGTGTCCGAAGTCATAGGGCCCCAGTCATCATCCATTTATAGATGGATTTCCTTTAACCATCCAGCGATCATTTATGGTATCCCCATGGAAATCCCCATGGAAATCCCCACGAAAGAATGGCAAAGATGATCAAAGATTGAGTTCTTCAAGGCGTCTGAGGAAGGAAAATGAGGATTTCTTGCATGATGAAGCTATGTTAAACTTGTTTTCTTTTGGAGGAGACCTTTTTGTGTCTTGCGTGCGCCAGTGGTCGGATTGAACCAACAGTAGGCAAATGGACAAAATGAGGGTTGGAGAAATCTGAAAAATTCAATGCAACAGGGTCTAAATCATACGCTGGGTGGTTAAGAAATCCTGCACCACCAACCGGATGGTTCAAACCCGAAAAAGATAATGGCATCAACCACCGTTTTCAACTGGTGCAGGATTTCGCTGGCCCATCCACAGGAACTGAAACTCCCAAGTTTGGCGGGATGAAATAGCTGGGTTTTTGGTGGTTCCCCATCCGCATCTGCAAATCCAGAACGGAACCCCGATAGAAGAGGTGAACTGTGAACCATTTCCCAAGAACGGAAGTCCCAGAAATCCCGACCAGGACCATGCCATTTGAAAAGCAATGATTGAAGCACCATCCGCCAAAGATGTTGGTGCTCACTTCGGTTTTTATCCACTTAAAAGCCACTTGAAAATAGAGATTGAGGCACCGACACACTGAGATGTCACCAACAGAAATGGGGCATGAATATGAACAAAAGTATGATATTTGAGCCACCAAAAAAAAACACATCTAAATATAACAATCACGGGGATCAATCCAACATAAAATGTGGAATTGAAACAAGAAAGCCTTGAGAGAAATTACAGGGTGTTGTCAAACCAAAAAAATAGATGGCACTTCAGTAGCAGAACTAATCTGCATTTCCTTTCTTCTGATTGATCGATTGATTTTGTTTCACATATTAATTTACCGAACTAGACACTGTGGTACTATAAAAGCTGGCTATGGAAAATCATCATTTAAGCAATCAGTAAATCCTCGAACTCAATGGGCCATCTATACCACTTCGCAAAGTCTAAGAAATGACCTGATTGTATTGATCCCCCAGGAAAACTCGCCCATGCACCCCATCAGCAGTGCTCGAGAGTACCAAGTTGCCGGTCTGTTGAATTCTTTTGCAGTGTCCAAAAGATCGCCAGGGCATCCTCTGTAATCATCGTATCCCAAATTGAACTGATTGCAATGACAGCGGAATAAAATCGGAGCAAAAGCCCCAACCAAAATAGGTTTCTTATTTCACATCCAAAAACAAACAAAAACTCTACCAGCGTCTCTCTGTCTCTGTCCTGCCAGCGCCGTTGTCCAGCGCGGCTGATCAGCGACGTCCAGTGCATGAGCCCGGATGGCTGCGTCGCTGAGTTGATGTTCCAGGAAGTGTCACGGTTGATAATCATCAAAAGACTACAGATATAACTAGCAGAAGTCCTACAAAAATTAGAGTTAGAAATGCACCAACTTAGCTATCGACCTGGGGCACCAGCTTGTATAGATGTTAATAGGGTTTCAACCATACTTGAACGGGATGTTTATGGGTCTTTATCTCGCATCATTTAATTTCTATGGTGACTACTTGGAGGATCATCTGTGGTTAAGTGGGATTTATGGGGGACAATAAAATATAACAACTATACTTAACTGAGATCATGACTATAGTTCACTGGGTTTTCCATGATGTTTTTCATCATGTCTATCACTGGCTTGACTACTTGGAGGATCATCTTGACCTAGTAACTGATTAGCAGCAATGTTTATGGCGATCATTGGAAGGCCACACCAGGACAGCTCTGGGGGTACGGTATATATTTAAAAAAACAAAAGCAACCTGTTGTTGAGGATATCATTGGATAAAATCTGGTATTTTTGGGGATTGTGATTCCTGGATATTGATGGATATTGATGGAAACTTCGGTGGCGTAAGCTGAGTTGTCAATAACTATTAATTTAATTAATGGGACGATCCATGGATTTTTTTCACTGATGTCCATGGATTTCTTACTGGGATGATGCAACTGTTGTTTTCTGAGAACGTTTTCATCAACAGCTAGATTCATGGGTCTGGGTAACTTGTAATATTTCACTAACCTGAATCTTGCGGCCATTTTTAGGGATGATTCCTCTTATTAATGATTCCAGGGCGAACAGGAGAACAGGGTTCGGTCGTGATGAAATTTACCCAGATGGCTGGTTAATATCTACCATTTACGATACTGGGGCTGCATCAAGTACGGGAACGCCGGGGTAAAATTGACACGAAATGAATGGATATTCACAGAACCGAAGATCAATTTCAAAAATGTTTTGAACATTGAATTGATATTATCAATTTCAATTCAAACATTTTGTATAACAACCGAATTTCAATTGAACAAAAACATTGAACAAACAATTTCTAGATGGACAATTCATTGAAATTCTGGAGAAAATGCCGCATTCCAATTGGAACACCACTTCTCAACTTGCTGTTTGGATCAACACTTTCATCAGTTCACCAATTTTTGTAACTCGTTAGGTAAAATTGACATATGAATGCTGCCCTCTGCAATGAAATATCTTTGAATTTGTGCTTCCCACTGAAAATCTATGGCATGGTCAATCGGCAGAAATTGTCTCACCAAGAACCACTGGAACCCCCAGTGGTTCACCCATTTTTTCAGTGAAAATCGCACACTTTCAACGAGGCTCCACGTCATCCGCGGTGCGATTCTGGCACATGGTCACCATCCCCCTAGCCATCTCGGGCACGTGCTGGCACCAAGTGGGACGACCTGGGGACAGGTCCGGAGGGTCAGCCTCTGGTCGGCCAAACCAACAGGGCGGCACCAAATATTGCACCAAATGCTGGATGTAGCCGCACCAATAAGGCGACCTATCTCGGATCGCAGTTGAGTCAACTCAGGGCACCAAGAATCAGATTGAAACTACCCTACGGTAATTTAATAGTTTGCTATTGAAAATGGAACATAGAAATAGTTCGTAAAAATGGTGATGTTCTATCGTTCTTTGTATGTTTACCAGAGTGTACCCTCTGGTACCGCTAATCAAACATGGTAATGGGAAGTTTCCCAGCACACCATGTGACTGATGTGACTGATGACGCTGGAGGCTACTTCTATGACTCTAACGGAATATATGACCAGAATTATCATTAGATCATGTAAAAGGGGATAATAATATATGGGAAATTTAGATAATATATGATCATATTATAACTATCATTATAGATTGTATGGGGTAATAAAATAAAAACATGATCTATTCCCATGATTATCCCATGATTATCATCCCATTGAGGTATTAGACGCCAAGAAATTGGATTGGGTATAGGCAGTGCCAAAAAAAAACGATTGGAAAATCCATGAAAATCCCAGTGGTTGATTTAATGGGTTTGGCCTTTGGTTGTTTCACGTAGCTCTCGAAAATGACCCGTTTTTTATTCCTAAATCTTCATAAATCATCTAGAAATGGACCATTTTCCATAGCTATGTTAAATAACCAGAAGGTAAATTAATGGATATGTTAAAGTATTTGAATTGGGTGCAGCAATGGGGGATCGAACCAACAACGTTATCATGGGTAGGTCATAAACTATGGGAATATGAATGGAATGTGAATATAAATACAGGACATTATGTTGGTTCTTAAGAATGGGATATCTCTCTAATATTATTGGTTGAGAATATAGTAACCATAGTTGATATTATTCAATACCAAAATGAGGATATTGGACATGATTCAACCAACATAATGGAGATACACTTGGATATACAGGAACAGGATATTATATATATATATATCAATAAACAACAACATGGCGTGGGTTTGTCCAAAAATGGGAGGTACCCCTAATTGTCCATTGAACAATGTGGAAAAGTACTATAAATTATCGAAGGAAGTTTAGAAGTCAAACTTCCGACAATATGGACAGATGAAAAGCAGAGCAGGGAAGAGGCAGAGAGAAGAGAAAGATTAGAAGAAAGAAGAGTAGAAGAGAAAGAGTTAGAAGAGAGAAAGATTAGAAGAAAGAAGAGTAGAAGAGAAAGAGTCAGAAGAAAGAAGATGCAGATGCGCGAAAAGGTAGGAAAGTCGCGAAACACTGTGTTTTTCCAATGATTTGTGGCTCGGGAGGGTCGAAAAGTAGGCTCGCTAAAGCGGCGTGTGCGGAGCCAGCTGGCCAGACGAGAGATGAAAAATTGCACGCCGTTGTGGCGCTAAGCACATTTCCAAGTCAAAATGTACAAAACAGTAGGGGTGCGGACCACTTTTGGCAGTTGAGATATCGAAAAAGTGCAAGCCGTTGTGGCGCGAAGCACATTTCCAAGTCAAAATGTACAAAACACACCAGCTCCGGACCACTTTTGGAGGTTGAGATGTCGAAAAAGTGCACGCCGTTGTGGCGCGAAGCGCATTTCCAAGTGAAAATGTACAAAACACCTCAGCTTCGGAGCATTTTTGGAAGTTGAGATGTTGAAAAAGTGCACGCCGTTGTGGCGCGAAGCACATTTGGAAGTCAAAATGTCAAAAACACTAGGGGTTCGGACGACTTTTGGAAGTTGAGATGTCGAAAAAGTGCACGCCGTTGTGGCGCGAAGCACATTTCGAAGTCAAAATGTTCAAAACACAAGGGGTTCGGACCACTTTTGGAGGTTGAGATGTCGAAAAAGTGCACGCCGTTGTGGCGCGAAGCACATTTCGAAGTGAAAATGTTCAAAACACTAGGGGTTCGGCCACTTTTGGACACTACATTACACTACACTACACACCACTACACTACATTACAGGACATCACACTACACTACACTCCAGTACACTACATTACACTACACTACACTCCAGTACACTCCACTAAACTAAATTACTGTACACCACACTACATTACACTACACTACGCTCCACTACACTACACTACACTACATCACATTACACTACACTTCACTCCACTACACTACATTACACTATACTACACTATCTTCCACTACACTTCACTACCTTACACTACACTACACTCCATTACACTACAACTACAACTACAACTACACAACTAGACTCCACTACACTCCACTACACTCCGCTACACTAAATGACACTACACTACACTACATTACACTACACTACACTACATTCCGCCACACTCCACTACACTACATTACACTACACTACACTACATTCCGCCACCCTCCACTACACCACACTACATTGCACTACACTACATTACACTGAATGACACTGCACCACAGGTAGTCAGGTAGACAGACAGACAGACAGACAGACAGACAGATAGATAGATAGATAGACAGGTAGACAGCTAGACACATAGACAGATGAAAGGGAGAGATAGATAGATAGATAGATAGACAGATAGATAGACAGACAGATAGATAGATAGATTGGTAGATAGATAGATGGCTAGATAGATTGATAGATAGATAGATAGATAGGTAGATAGAAAGGCAGATAGGCAGATAGACAGGTAGACAGTTAGACAGATAGACAGATGAAAGAGAGAGAGAGAGAGCGAGAGAGATAGATAGATAGAAAGATAGATAGATAGATGGCTAGACAGATAGATAGATAGATCGATCGATCGATCGATGGATAGATCGATAGATCGATAGATCGATAGATCGATCGATCGATCGGTCGATCGGTCGATCGATCGATGGATGGATGGATAGATAGATAGATAGATAGATAGAAAGATAGATAGATAGATAGACAGATAGACAGATAGACAGATAGACAGATAGACAGATAGACAGATAGACAGATAGACAGATAGACAGATAGATAGATAGATATATAGATAGATAGGTAGATAGATAGATAGGTAGATAGATAGATAGATAGTCAGAAAAAGAAAGAGAAAGAGAGGAGACCTCAAGCACCTTTCGGTCCATCAATGGATTCGCTCTGCCATCCCGGATTCACAACAACCAAGCTCTCCTATAGGTTTCCTATTTTTGAAACTTCCGCCACCACCTTGTGCGGTACTACTGGTAACCATTGGATTGTAAGGCTTTAAGGTGTCCAAATTTCAGACAAACCCACATTGATCCATTATCAACTAAATCTGGTACATGAATATGGGGATAAGCATTTCCAGGCGATTCCAGGAGCAACCGATCACTTTTTTGGGCTTCCCAAATCAATCAACCAGGATTTGTCAATCCTGGGTGGGCATTCTGCAATTGGCAAGTCAAAAAATCAGCAGTATAGCCTAGCACTATCCAGCATCACCGCTGGACAGATGCTTGATATTGATGAACAAAAGTGACCCTAGCGAAATCACCCTGAATCTGAATCGGGTAAAGACAAGACTACCCTCACCTCAAAGTTTCAGCATTTGCCCACCTGTATGACTCCTTCGATGCCTTTATTTCCTGCAAATCAATAGGCTCCACCAGCCCAGATGTGCCACCAACTGTGCCACCAACTGTGCTCGTGCTCGTCGTGGAGTTGTGGTTCTCAGCACACGGCAGCACCACGAATCGCACGCTTTCGGGCACGTGTTTGCACCAGCGAGGATAGCCCGGCTCAACCTCCGGAGGCTCGGCAGCGGGGGAACCAAACCAACAGGGAGGCACCAGGAAGTGATATTTGGAGATGTAGGCACACCAATAGGGCGATCTCGTGGCGGATGCCTTAGTAAGGATCAATGGCATGGATGTAGGGGAGTAAAAACCTCTGTTCTTAGGGGGAAATCTGAGCAAGTTGGGAGATACAACCGCACAAAATGTGTGAATGTATGTGAACTTGAGAAGCTAGCCTATTTTGCTTATTTTGGGATGCTCAGAGTCTAACCTGCATGATGTCACCAGGTTGATTTAGTGGAGAATTTGTAGGGGTTGTTTTTTTTTTCTGACGTGCTAAACCCAACTTTTTGAACCATCCCCAATATAACCACCATTTTTATCGGTGGTATAAACCATCCCAAATCATAGGTTTATGGGGTTTTTGGCATTTTTTTCATGATCGGCCAAGATGCGAAGCGCCTCTGCAGCAAGTGAAGCCCATCTGCCGTTGGATCCCTTGCAAGTGCCTCCATCACATCTCCAGTCTCCTGAGAAAATTTACCATCTGGGGAACCCTGCGATGAGAATCCGGGTTTCAAGGGGTGGCCCAGGCTAAGGCCAACATGGACAGCATGAGACTCGCAAGCATGTCCATTTTGGAAATTTCGTCCATACTTGGATGTGCATCCTACTTAGTAAGTGGTATATAACCCGTATAAGAACATATATATATATATACACACACATGTATACACATGCATGCATGCATGCATGCATACATTACATTACATTACATTACATTACATTACACGACATTTGCATTTACATTGACATTTGCATTTACAGTTACATTTACATTTGCATTACATTGCATTAATACATACATACATTACATTAATACATACATACATTACATACATTATATTAATACATACATACATTACATACATTACATTAATACATGCATACATTAATACATACATACATTACATTCATTACATACAATACATACATACATTACACTAATACATACATACATACATACATACATTACATTACATTACATTACATTACATTACATTACATTACATTACATACATACATACATACATTAACACATACATATATTACATACATTACATACATACATTCATTAATACTGTAGTTCCCAGCTCTAGAGGTTTCAAATGTCAATGTCCTTTTAGGAAGAATAGAGGGGTCGGTTTGGTATCTTATTCATTATCATCTATCTATTGAAATCTATAAGAAATGGGGGAAGCCTCTAGTGGGAAAAGGACATCTATGAATAGCATCTTTTTCATTGTTCCAAGTCTCGGACCATGGTTGGGGCGCAACCATTTTTGCCCCCAAAAAAATGCCGGTTAGATCCACATTCAAAAACTCATTTGATGGTTAAATCCCTAACATTCTTTGAAATTGTTTATATAGAAGATTTACGTTTAAATTATGTTTGATGGTATTTATAGGATAAACCATGGTTTCTTGTAGATTTTCCAACCAATCCATTCAAACATTGCCATTTTAACAGGAAAAAAGCACAGCACTCCTCAGGACATCTGGCTTCTTCCGCGGCAACCACGAGTGAAGTAGCTGCCACGCCCGCGGCCAGCCGCATAGCGTGTTTCTTTCATATGGACTTTGAGCAAAGGCTGTGGATTTTCTGAAGCATCCCCATGGCAGTGACATATCGGTATACAATGCAACTTAGGTGCAATGATCCGCAACACCATCCCCCTTTTAATTGGGATGATATAACATTATAAACATATATATATAGTAATATCATCTCTATATATATATATTACATATATATATATGTGTGTATATATGAATCACTAAATCATCATGAAGATGTATGTGTATAATACATTCTTGAAATCTTGAAACATAAGGAGTCATCATTCGCAAAACGGGATTTAGAACCTCAGCCAAAGCTGGGGATTTTATCCCATCTTCAACGGAAAATCACTTGTCAAGACCACCTGGTTCCATGGTTTCAATTGGAAATTGTACGACTGGTTGCTTCTCACAGGAAAAACGATGCAGAAATCCCAAAACAAAAAAAAGTTCCCCTGTTTAAGATTGCATTACAAGGCGAAATTTCAGGGGATCTCCCAAGTTCTATGGCTACAAAATTGGCTCCATTTGTACCTCGATTTTAGGAACTTGAAAGTCCCAGGAAGACAACATACCAGGACTCAGACCATCCAGCGATAAAGGGGTACCCCCATGACTATGGAAACCTCCATATCTAACTATACTAGGCTCAGCTTCGAAGCAAGAGTGCCTCCTGTTGGGAGGCCTCATTTTGGATCCAAGCGCCATGATCGAGATCCAAATTTGAAGGAAATTGTGAGCCGCGAGTCCCTTCTAGTTGATATTGTGGCAATGCATTATACTTCTGATGTAAAGAGGGTAGTACAACCCCCCAACTGATCATCAACCAAAACCGCGGATAGATAGCAGCCACTAAACCCAAAGCCAATTGTTCATAATTGTTCAATGTCAATTTCTTATCATTTTCCCGCAACGAACTTCTGCGGCTGCAACTTCTTTTTCCCACACTTCGGGGCCATACGACTCATATTCGCTGCGCCACACACCCGCGTCTCTGAAGATCTCTGGATGCCTCGAGCGGAAAAACAAAGCTCGAAGGCCCCCCTCCTCCAGGACCAACTTTAGCTTGGAAAAAAAAAACACAAATTCGGAAACTGGTGCTTCAACTCAACTTGTTCCACTTGATTTATATATTCCATAGATATTCCGATAGATACCCTCTGGTAAACATACCAAAAACTATGGGAAATCACCATCTTTAATAGGTAAATCAACTATTTTCCATGGTCCATGTTCAATAACTATGTAACAGTCATTACCAGAAGCTCTTCCAACGTTTGCCCCCAAAAAAAGGGACCACAATGACCACTTTTTAAACCAGTCGTCGGCCCAGGTGCTTGACCAAATCCGGATGCATCACTCCAACCAGCAGCACCCATCGGTCCTGCCGGTCCCAGAAAGTCATTCGTACGGCCAGGACGACATGGTGATCAAACGGAAACATGGGATTACCCTCTGGTAAACATACAAAAAACTATGGAAAATCACCATCTTTAAGAACGGTAAATCAACTATTTCGACTGGGCCACTTTCAATAGCAAACTGTGAATGTTTACCAGAGGGTAATGGTGATGGTATGATCCTCAATCTGGGATTAATATATGATGATTTTTCATGGTGATGACATGGGATCATCTCTGATTATCATTGATGATAATTGATGGACATATGGAGGTTTCCATAATCATGGGGGTAACCATTTATCGCTGGATGGTAGAAATTTCATGAAAAAATCCAACAGAAACTGGATGAGAACTGGGGGTACCCCTTTTTCAGGAAACCACTATATTTTGCAAGATCAGGAGATGTTTGATGTTTTTTTGCTAGCAACACCTTTGATAATCTGGAAGAACCCCATCACCAAATCCCTCCATCACCGCAGCGTTGCCAGCGCCTGCTCACCATCATGTCTAGCGGAATGGTCGCAGCTGTCGTCAAAGGCCAACAGCTCTCCATCCCGCCACTGCCGCTCTTCCCCTGCAACTTGGATGAAGGAGTCGCTGCAACCTGGCCATTGGGGTCATGAGGGCTTGGAAAAAACTGGGAAACATGTGGAGCTTCATGGCCAGAGAGATGTTTAGATGCTGTAACTCCACAAATGACCCGGCCCAGGACCAACCGAAAACTGGTATGGACATGGGAAAAAAATGGTTTTAGAAGATGATTGTCCATGAAAACCCACCATCAAATGAGCAGTGTTCAAAACCCAAATTTCGTCTATAGTTAACTGGGATATCGGATATAACGGGAAAACACTAGGAATATAATTGGTTGAGATGACTAATGCATATTCATTTGAAGGATTTTGAAGGGTCATGACACTGGCTGGTCAATAGAATTTCCCATAATGGATTGTGATAACCCCAAGTACAGTGGATGTTACAACCCCATGGAATAATCCAGGGGTACTTGCTTTGGGCGACCTGATGTTCACATCATTATCATCATTGGTAAAAGTAGATGGGCATCCCCGGATCACAAAGCCCGGAGTATTTCGGCCGGTCGCCTCCAAGTGACCATTTTCGTCGATTTTCTATCCAAAATGCTTAAGATTGAACCCCTTGAACTAAACATCCCAAGGGTTTCCAATCCACGTTGACTGGTTGACAATTTCCCCCCTTCGTGCGGAAATTTCACCCAAAAAAGTTGGATATAAAATCATGTAAAATCCAACGGTTTCTTGTAAGATGACCCTTAGAAATTCACCCCCAAAGAGATTGAACATTGATTTTTCACAATTTGAGTAGGTTTCACCCCCTTTTTTTGTTGTTTTACAGTGTTTTCCCTCACCAAGTCATGTTCCAGTCCCAGCAACCCAACAGACCCAGGCTGAGATTCACCCGCGCATTGCAGCCCCCGCTGTGCATGGCAATTCGGGTGCCTGGCGTCATCCGGAAGAAGCACACCTTGGGGCGTCCACGTGGCGACGAGAATTGTGACCATTGATGGAGAATGGGAATTTGGGGTCAAGCCTACCACCCAAAAATGGTTTCCATGTATAATTGTATCGTATATACATATATGTAATTCAAAAACTATATTCATACATATATGTGTATGTATGTATGTATGTATGTATGTATGTATGTATGTATGTATGTATGTATGTATGTATGTATGTGTGTATGTATGTGTATGTGTATGTGTGTATGTATGTGTATGTATATGTATGTGTATGTATGTGTATGTATGTATATGTATGTATATGTATGTATGTGTATGTATATGTATGTATGTGTATGTATGTATATGTGCATATATGTGTCTGTATGTATGTGTATGTATCGTATGTGTCATATATGTGTGTATGTCTATATATGTGTATGTATATGCATATGTATATGTATATGTATATGTATATGTATATGTATATGTATGTGTATGTATGTATGTATGTATGTTTGTATGTTTGTATGTTTGTATGTATGTTTGTATGTATGTTTGCATGTATGTGTGTATGCATGTATGTATGTGTGTATGTGTATGTATGTATGTATGTACGCATGTATAAATATATATATATATATGGTTTTATTTATTTATTTGTTTGTCTATTTATTTATTTATTTATTTATTTTATATATATATATATTATAATACATTTTATAGTAATTATATATATAATATGTGCACATATCAAATATGTACATATGCACAAAAAATATAAGTACATATATATATGTACATATGTATATGTACATATATAGCGTGTGTGTTTGTATTTTTCAAGGTGAAAAATCATCCATCCTATTAAATACGTTTTTCCTAGGTCGGGGTTTGGCTTTGGTTCATCCGTAAACAAAGCAACCCCCAAGAAGAGATAAAGAAATGCCATTGATCAATCTAAACCATCCAATTTTGGGGTTATCGAATTTTGACGCAAAACCATTTGTGCTTGGGCATCAATGATGGCCAAAAACCAAAAAAATTAGCAAACGTGCTGCCTCTTCCGTGTTGTGGTGGATGTAGGGCAAACCATTCGAAAGTCCCGGCAGTTTGTCTCGCAAGACTTCGGTCGTCTTGGGCGCCAGAGCAACAGCAGCGGGGTCCCAGCGTTTGTCGTGGTATAACCGAATCGCATCCCAATCGCCCACCTTCTTGGATCGGCTTAAAGCCTCCTCCCCAAAATTTAAAAAAAAAAATATATATATATATATACATACATGATGTGAAAGTAGATGGCACAATTCAAAACCAAATGCCCATAAGATGGCACAGTGGGATGAGTAAGAAAACGGCGCTATTTGAGAGAGGACCTAAACTGAGTTGGGTCATCTATTTGGTTTGTGTGAAAGCTCGGTGGAAAAACTTCCAAAAATAGAACGTACTGGATGATCAATTTAGCTCAACTTAAACGTAGATGGCGCAACTGCCAGCAATATTCTATAAAAATCCCTATGCTAACAATTTGTCTCATCATATCCCATTAAAACCATTCAAAATGTTCGAATTGATAACTCTTAGTGGCTACTCACCGCTATCATGGGACAATAGCTTTTTAAACCTTTAAGCCTTTACTACAATAATCATGGAAACCAAATTAGCCCCTCCCCTAAATACCCCCCCCCTCCATAGTTACTTATTCCTGCGTTATCTTGGAATTCTGTCATCATCAGAAAATAAGGCAGGAATAAGCCAGGAATAGGCTTCCGATGATCATTGTTCAAAAGGCTCATAATTTCAGGTTATTCATGATCCATGTCATGGGAACAGTGCGCTGGAACACGTTTATTGCAGAAATCTGCACCATGAGAGAAGAAACATGAAGAAAAAGAATTGAACACCATCACTCCCAGGGGTGACAAACAGAGGAAATCTCGCTGCATGGTTCAAGTCGGTCAAAATAATCACCAACGCCAAATATGTACGAATTTTCTGTTTGTTGTTTGCTGCCAAAATGTCACAAATAAATTTCACATAGATGATCAGTAGATTCGTGTCATTTTTTGCTGAAATAAGCCAAGAAAAATGTGCGCTAAAAAGCAATCAGCAAAATATGGATGCAGAAAGCAAACATACAAAAATAAGGCAGGGATAAGGCAGGAATAATACAAGGAACGAATAAGGCAGTAATAAGCCAGGAATAAGCAGAATATGCCGCAGAAAGCAAAAATAAAAAAATAAAGCAGAAATAAGGCAGGAATAAGCCAGGAATAAGCCAGGAATAAGGCAGGAATAAGCAGAATATGCTGCAGAAAGCAAAATCAAAAAATAAGGCAGGAATAAGGTAGGAATAAGCAGAATAATGCTGCAGAAAACAAAAATCCAAAAATAAAAAAGGAATAAGCCAGGAATAAGGCAGGAATACGGTAGGAATAAGCATAATATGCTGCAGAGAGCCAAAATCCAAAAATAAGGCAGGAATAAGCTAGGAATAAGGCAGGAATAAGCAGAATATGCTGCAGAAAGCCAAAATCAAAAAATAAAGCAGAAATAATGCAGGAATAAGGCAGGAATAAGCAGAATATGCTGCAGAAAGCCAAAATCCAAAAACAAGGCAGGAATAAGGTAGGAATAAGGTAGGAATAAGCAGAATATGCTGCAGAAAGCCAAAAATCCAAAAATAATGCAGAAATAAGGCAGGAATAAGGCAGGAATAAGGTAGGAATAAGGTAGGAATAAGCAGAATATGCTGCAGAAAGCAAAAATCCAAAAATAAGGCAGGAATAAGCTAGGAATAGGGCAGGAATAAGCAGAAAATGCTGCAGAAAGCCAAAACCCCAAACTGAAGCAGAAATAAGGCAGGAATAACGTAGGAATAAGGTGGGAATAAGCAGAATATGCTTCAGAAAGCCAATATCCAAAAATAATGCAGAAATAAGGCAGGAATAAGACAAGAATAAGGTAGGAATAAGGTAGGAATAAGCAGAATATGCTGCAGAGAGCCAAAATCAAAAAATAAGGCAGGAATAAGCTAGGAATAAGGCAGGAATAAGCAGAATATGCTGCAGAAAGCCAAAATCTAAAAATAAAGCAGAAATAATGCAGGAATAAGGCAGGAATAAGCAGAATATGCTGCAGAAAGTAACAATCCAAAAATAAGGCAGGAATAAGGTAGGAATAAGGTATGAATAAGCAGAATATGCTGCAGAAAGCCAAAAATCCAAAAATAAGGCAGAAATAAGGCAGGAATAAGGCAGGAATAAGGTAGGAATAAGCAGAATATGCTGCAGAAAGCCAAAATCCAAAAAAAATGCGAAAATAAGCCAGGAATAAGGCAGGAATAAGCCAGGAATATGGCAGGAATAAGCAGAATATGCTGCAGAAAACCAAAATCCAAAAATAAAGCAGGAATAAGCCAGGAATAAGGCAGGAATAAGCAGAATATGCTGCAGAAAGCCAAAATCCAAAAATGAAGCAGAAATAAGGCAGGAATAAGGCGGGAATAAGCAGAATATGCTGCAGAAAGCCAAAATCCAAAAACAAGGCAGGAATATTCTTCTTTTGCGATGTTTTGTTTCTTGGCTTCTCTGTCTGGTGTCTTGGCTGGCGTGAGTTGTCTTTTCTCTTTTTCGGTTTCCATCTCTAGCATCGCATTTTCATCATCCGCCATCATTTGCCTGGCTGACTTTGGTGCCCACTGCCGTGTGGCGGCCGACATGCGTGCAGCTACCCTTACTAATCACAAAGAGAAACAGGTACCCTGGTTCGAACCACAATGCTGTGTTAAACCGTTACAGCTAAGTCCAGACTTCAAATAGTCCGGCCACATAGCAAACCGTTTCAATGCTTCGCCTCTTCGCTGCTTGCTGGTGGATCTTTCCGGGCCTCACTCGCTCTGACCTTTTCCAAGATCTTCTGATAGCTTTCAAAAGCCATCTTCGTTGTCTCATCAGACTGTGGATAGACCTCCTGCCACTTCTTGAGTAGCTCTATCGCTCTGTAATCACTCACTTTTTCTCTGCTCATATTTTCCTTCTTATCCATGAAGGCGTTAACAGCGTTCATGCAAACCGTCGTCCGGTTTTTCATGACGTTCTCAGCCAACATGGTCACTTCTCCCAGGCCTTTTCTGTCCATGATTGAGATCTCCTTCATCATGTCATCTGACAATGAAGTTTTCCTCCTTTCGTCCTTCACTTTATTCATAAAATCTATCCACGGCTGTGTGACATCGAGATTGTCGTCACATAGACGGGTCTCGTGTGCTAGCCTTTCTCCTGTGAGAGAGGCCACCCATGATATTTCTGAACCGTGTCCTTCATGAAAAGCGGCTTTGAAAAACCTTACTTTCGAGAAACTGACTCCTGGCTCCAGCAACACCCTGGAACCCTGAGTTTCGGGACTCTCCGACCTCTGTGAGCTGGAAGCGGCAGCATCCGTCTTCGAGATGATGGATATCTTTTCTTCGATTTCTCCAGTTTACCCGGTTGTTTGTTAGCCAGAAGAATGAACCCGGTTGGAACGTTGGATATCTAATCTAATCTCATCTAATTTAATCTACCTAATCTAATCTAATTCTAATCAAATCTAACCTAATCAACCTAATCGAATCTAATCTACCTAATCTAACCTAATCTATCTATCTAAGTAATCTAATTCTAATCTAATCTTATCTACCTAATCAAAACAGATTCTAATCTAACCAAAACTAATCTAATCTAATCAATCCAATTTTTTCTATCTAATCTAATCCCATCTACCTATTCTATTATAATTCTTATTCCAATCTAATCATCTAATCTAATCTACCTAATCTAATCTAATCTAACCTAATCTAATATTTTTAATCTAATCTAATCTAATCTAATGATATCATATCATATCACATCATATCATATCATATCATATTATATCATATCATATCATATCATATCTATCCAACTAATCTAATCTAATCTAACCTAATCTAATCTATCTAATCTAATCTAATTTAATCTACCTAAAGTAATCTAATCTAATCAAATATAATTCTAATCTCATCTCATCTATATAGTCTAACCTAATCTAATCTACCTAACCTACTCTAATTCTAATCTAGTTTAATCTATCTAATCTAATCTAATCTACCTAACCTAATCTAATCTAATCTAATCTACCTAATCTAATCTGATCTACTCTGCCTAATCTAATCTAATCTAATCTACCTAATCTAATCCAAGTCTAATCTAATCTAATCTACCTAATCTAATCTATTTCTAATCTAATCTAGTTTATCCCCCTTGCAATTCGGCCTCCGACCCTGACCCCTGAATCTTTAAGGGACCACTGGTAGCCTCTTAAAGAATGCGAACCAGGGCAAATTTCAGCCTTAAAGAATCTAACCCCAATGAACCAAGATTGCAACACAGTAGCCAGGTATGTCCCGTTAAAAAAATGGAGACCGTCAATAACACACCAAGGGGTGCCCCTTTAAAGAATTGGATACCCAAGTTGAAGTCAAGCATGAAATGTTCTGAATATTTTTAAGATTTTATGGATACATATCATGTACATTCATGTACATGTTAAAGAGATATGTGCATGTGGATGATATATGAATATATATATATGGTGCAGTTCCTAGAATCTTCCAAGGAAGGCCTCTTAAAGAATAGGAGAGCGTCAAACAACAGGATTTCCTTAAAAAATAGAACTGTTTTTTTTTTGCCGGCCAGGTATGTCCCTTAAAAAATACAGTTTTTTAAGGACATCATGTCCTGAACTTTTTAAGGAAAATTCCCAGGAGGATTCTAGTTTAATCTATCTAACTTAATCCAATCTACCTAATCTAATCTAATCTGATCTACCTAATCTAATCTATATAATCTAATCTAATCCACTCAGTGACAGCTACTTGCGGATGCTGGCAGGTTTCCCCCAAACTGTTGCCGTTTTTCCTCTCTGACCTTTTCAGGCGCTTGTCACTCACCGCTCTTGTTTTTGACGACTGCATGGAGAACGACACTTGGGTGATGTGAGATCGGCCTCGTACTGGTGAATCTAAAGGTGGTTTCGACCTATGAAACCCGAAACCCGAAACCCGAAACGGACAGCTAAAGTTAGCTTCAATCGACGAAACCCGAAACCCGAAACCCGAAACCGACAGCGAAAGTTGGTTTCAGGCGACGAAACCCGAAACCCGAAACTTGAAACCGACAGCGAAAGTGGGTTTCAAGCGACGAAACCCGAAACCCGAAACCCGAAACCGACAGCGAAAGTTGGTTTCAAGCGACGAAACCCGAAACCCGAAACCCGAAACCGACAGCAAAAGTGGGTTTCAATCAACGAAACCCGAAACCCGAAACCCGAAACCGACAGCGAAAGTGGGTTTCAATCGACGAAACCCGAAACCCGAAACCCGGAACCCGAAACGGACAGCGAAAGTTGGTTTCAAGTGACGAAACCCGAAACCCGAAACCCAAAACCGACAGCGAAAGTGGGTTTCAATCGACGAAACCCGAAACCCGAAACCCGAAACCGACAGCGAAAGTTGGTTTCAATCGACGAAACCCGAAACCCGAAACCCGAAACCCGAAACCCGAAACCCGAAACCGACTCGAATCCGACTTTTGGGTGGCTCTCCGGATCGGAACTCGAGAAAGAGAGAGAGAGAAAGAGAGGAGACATCAATCACCTTTCGATCCATCAGTGGCTTCGCTCTGCCATCCGTGACTCACAACAACCAACCTTTCCTATAGGTTTCCTATTTTTGAAACTTCCGCCACCGCCTTGTGCGGTACTACTGGTAGTAGTACTGGGAAGTGATTCATGAAAGCTTAGATGACATATGAGAAGAGATGAGATGAGAAGAGATGAGCTGGGATAAGGTGAGAAGGGCTCAGATGAGATGAAGTGTGGAGTGTGAAGAGTGCAGTGTGAAGTGTGGGGCGTGAAGAGTGCAGTGTGAAGTGTGAAGTGTGAAGTTTTTGGAGTGTGAAGAAAGCAGTGAGAAGTGAGGAGTGTGAAGTGTGGACTGTGAAGTGTGAAGTTTGGAGTGCGAAGAGTGCAGTGTGACGTGTGAAGTGTGGAGTGTGACGTGTGGAGTGTGAAGTGTGGAGTGTGGAGTCTGAAGAGTGCAGTGTTCGAAATTGCATTACATGTATATCCATAGAATGTGGTGTGTCTGTGTCTACTAGCTGTATATAGTCTAACACTTAGAAGAGGTATGGCGTTCAAATATACTTAGCACTGCTATAAGTAACATAGATCAAGGTTGCAGCAGTCAGGGTAGGGTGGTGCATTTAGGTTGGGGTGGTGCATTTAGATGAAGTTCATGGTGATGGCATTAAGACTTTGACAGGCATGAAATGAAACATTGTTGGTTGTTTGGAGACTTGGTGTGAAGACTTGGCTGACACAGAGTTGCGTGACATGATGATGAGATGAAGCTTAGAGCCTGAGGGAGGCGCAGCGCCAAGCAAGACCAAGATTGATAGCATCCGATCGCGGCATTATAGGCAATGTCTGCAAGCTTAGTTTTAATGTCACAGTGTCATGAAAAGAAGCAAGAATGCTGGCAAGCAAGGCACTTGTTTTCTTGATCTGACATTCGCGACATCAGCGGAGCCGGAGATCTTTCAACATATTGATTGTTGCATTCCAGGCATTCTGCCCTTTGTGCCAATACGTCCATCGGGCTGCGCGGATTTTGCGAGCCATGGCCACAGAATCGGTCAATGATTTGCGTTCCAGCCTTGACAGTCAGGGTCTTCTTCGAATTTGGCAACTTGTGTGTCCAAATCTTTGTAAAGTTGGGTTTCACCCATGTCGCTTTGCCTTTAATGAAGACTTTCTGCTTCTTATGCACAACATTGTCGTGCAACACGCCTGGCACTCGAAGCTTATAGGCGTTGGCTCCATCTTTATGTAAGATGACGTTCTTGTTCTGCAAGAACTTTGAAGCAATGGGCTTCCAATTCGTCTTCCGAATGGGACCAGGACCAAAACCAATTTTCCAGAGGTCTTGGTGGATAGGGGGGTCCAGCCAAGAGTCCCCAAATATTGTTTGTTTTTGTTTTTTTTGTTTTTTTTGTTTTCTCGATGTTTTTTTGGTTTTTTGGGTTTTCTCCATGGGTCCTCTCCCCAAAGAGTCCCCAAATATTGTTTTTTTTGTTTTTTTGGGGGGTGTTTTCTCGAGGTTTTGTTTATTTTTGTTTGATTTTCTCCATGGGTCCTCTCCCCAAAGAGTCCCCAAATATTGTTTTTTTTGTTTTTTTGGGGGGTGTTTTCTCGAGGTTTTGTTTATTTTTGTTTGATTTTCTCCATGGGGCCTCCCCCCAAAGAGTCCCCATTTGAACCAGACAATGAGGTGAAGCAGACGATGCTAACAAAGATATGAAATATACCTTCGGGGGGGTTCTGGTGGGGTGTGTGACCATATATATATATATGGTGCAGCGTTGGCCACCCCCCCTCCCCCCCCCCACCAATGGGTATGGGTGGACAGTATCGTCTGGTTCTTCTGGCCCCCCCCTGTGGCCTGTGGTGGTGGTATGGTTCTTCTGGTCCCCCCCCCGCCCTGTGGCCTGTGGTGGTGGTATGGTTCTTCTGGTCCCCCTCCCCCTGTGGCCTGTGGTGGTGGTATGTTGGGTATGTTGGTATGTTGGTATGTTGGTATGTATGTATGTATGTATGTATGTATGTATGTATGTATGTATGTATGTATGTATGTATGTATGTATGTATGTATGTATGTATGTATGTATGTATGTATGTATGTATGTATGTATGTATGTATGTATGTATGTATGTATGGAATGTAAGGTAAGGTAATGTAAGGTAAGGTAAGGTAATGTAAGGTAATGTAATGGTATGTATGTATGTATGTATGTACGTAGGTATGTAGGTAGGTAGGTAGGTAGGTAGGTATGTAGGTATGTATGTATATACACCACCACAGGGGCATCATACCCCCCCCCATCCCATGGGGGGGGGGAACACGGAACACGGGACCATATATATATATACCCTATGGATTCCTAAAATGGTATATTTCCCATTGGAAAAGTAAAGAAAACACTCAACAAAGCCAGGCTTAAACTCAAGCCAACGACTTGGATTTGCCAAAAGGGGCCATTTAAAGAACAAAAAAGATGCCGTCGTCTAGCAAGCCCGAGTTCAAAATGCAGAACAAGTGAAAAAAAAATGGCTATTTCAGGATTAGCCTTCATCAATTTCTATCAGGGCTGCGAATTGTTTTTCTTGGAGCAGGTTCCTTCCCACAAAAAAAAGTGGTGAATCTACCGATGCAAGCCACCGAAGTCAGTCGCGGATACGCTGGATCCAGCACCATCTGCCCACCCTTCGCTAGAAGCCCTTGCAATTCAGAACGAATTTCAGAGACGTTTTCCTCCAAGGCCTTAGGGCACTAAGGCGGTGACATACCTTGGTTTGGTTTTATATGTTTTATGGGGGATACAGCTATAGTTCATGGTTTTTTTTTTCATAACCAACTTATTGGGGCAACACTTGCATGATCATCATTCTTGTCTCAATTGTCATTATCTTCACATTGTTATATACGTTATATTATTTCTGATCGGAATTATGTTTAACATATATATATACACATATGTACATATACATATGTATGTGTATAATATATATATATCACTTTCACTTTCACTGGCGGCTCTCTGAAGACGTATATATATATATATGTATATAAGATTATATAATTATAATAGTGATATTTATCACATCTTCCCCCCACACAGTCCCGGACTGCCAGGGCCCTGCCTCTGCAAGTGGTAGATCTCCTGGCTCCCACCAGGGGGAAACTGGCCTCAATCTTCGCACGTAGACCGAAGGCGTCTGGTAAAACTGGCTCCAGGCGATCATTCGTCGACCACCACGTTCCAACGAAACCTTGGATTGATGACGACTGAGATTGATTGGGCGATTTGGGGATGGGTCAAAACCTTGTACCCCTGTAGTTCACCTCAAAATAGCTGGGATTTATGGATGTGAATAACCCACTAAAAATGTATCTATAGGTATTGACCCATAGCCATTTGCTAATGACTTGAGGATTTTTGCGGCTCCAAAAAACTCACCATTTGCGGCGAAATTTTACCGGAGGTTTTGGTAAAGCCAACTCATCATCTCACCAGGAAACTGCCTCATCAAAAATCTCCTGAGCCTCTGCCATGCGGTTCACAGATTTCAGAAGTTGCAAGGCAGTTTCATAATGAAGCATAGATCCGCGTTCCTGCAATTCCCCTTTCCAATCAAAGTCCGACAGACATTCTTCGTGGCGTGCCAAAGTCACGGCAAATTCTGCAATCAGCGGGTACAGCTTTAGATCCTTCAAATTCCAAAGGGCCTCCATCAGGGATTGAATCCTTGCAGCATCTGCAATGGACAAAAGCTTCGAGCCATGTAGATGTGCCAAATGAAGCAATTCCGCAGATGTCTCGTCCAAAACTCCTCCAAAATTGCATCTCGCAAACTCACCTGGGTCGCTGAGCCACTGCAAAATAGATATTCATCGACTGGGATCGTCATCGCATCATTGAGCGATTTTTTCTCAGAAAACCACACCTCAACTTTACCAGTGATATCCCTATGCGTAGCCGCCATTCTTGGAGCTTCAAGGCCATTCTGTGTTGTTGATCACTGTTGATCATCGTGCCATCCACATCCACCACGACTTCTCTGAAACCCTAAACCCTCAAGAATTGATGTCGATTGGAGTCGTCATGCCATTTAGAAAAATTGGAAATTGTGGAAAAAACGGTTGTGATGAAGGGATGGTTCAAGTGGCTAATGGGAAACTAGAATTGAAAATGCTTGTTTTATATGTTATAATAAATGGAAATTACCATTGAAAATGGTTCTAAGAAATGGATCCAGATATTTCGAAGGTCATTTCTTTACAGATTTTGCCCCTAAATCATAGCCCTGACAGATCTGACAGCAGACGAGTACTTGGATCATCTTGGATCCTCTGGTGATATCTGGCCACACGGTACGAAGTGCCACGTGTTGCAACTATGTTCAAGATCTAATACAAGGTGTTGCTCAGCTATAAGATGCTATAAGCTGTTTTTTTAGCTCAGCTCAACTTCGATATGCCAACCCAACAGCTCAACTGGGACATATTGGGACCTCTAAATTAAAGCCAACAGTTCAAGTGTTCAGTGTTCACCAACTCTTTGGGATTCCAACACTTCACGAGAAAATCATCAATCAGCTCACCTGCATAGGCTAGGAGGAGTCGACTGCGACTTTCCACGTTGCCCGGTGCTCGTGCCAGCTGCCGTTCCAGCCGCGCCAGTTGCGCACCAAAGCGCCGGCCGCGCCACGCCGCGAAGCGCCCTCTGGCGAGGTGCATGGCGAAAATCTCACGGAAGCGAACCCCAAGATGCCACAAACTTGAGAGACCTCCAGCATCCATCAAGAATGGCGCATGTTTGTGGGAAAACCTAAACGGATTCGGGGTATCCTTCATTGCTACCACGAGCTTAGTTTCCAAATAGTTTACATCTCCCCTGTTTTGTTCATTCCTTGACGCTCTGTTGACCGATCTGGAAATTGGCAAGAGACTGAACATTGTGGAGTAAATTCTGATTGGCAGTTTTTTCGGTTTCAGCTTCATCCAAATAATCTAGGGAGTTTCAGTTTTCCCTACCAGTACCTTTCCAAATAAAGAGTTGCTGAGTAGTTTGATTCCTCCTCCTCCTCCGAAAATTTTCGATACGCCTCGCAGGGTTACCCTGGTGCAGTGTACTGGATGTACTCATGAATTGGGGGCCATTTACGGATACCCTCTGGTGATTTAACAGTTCGCCATGGTATAGATGGCCCATAGATGATTTTCCCAGCTAGAAACCTCCATTTATAAGGGTTTTTCCATGGCTATGTTAAATAACCAGATGGTAGTATTTAGTAATATTTGATATTACGTTGGCCACTTTGCCATTTCAGGATTGTGAAAAACCATGTGTTTCACACCATGATCGGTGCTACCAGCTAACACCTCATTTTTCAGGGTCAAACAATGTCAAACACCTTTTTTTTGATGGTAAAACGATGTAAAATGCATCGTTTTCATGATGAACCAACATTTCTTGATGGTTAAACCTCCTTGAGTGTCTTAAAACCACCATTGTCAGATGGCATGAATCTCCCAACAGCATACCTTTTCGTCGCGCGGACTCACACGGAGTCGGGGCCTGGACCCAGCGTGACAGATTCGTGAACAATCACAATCAAGAATGGCTAATTTATGAATGGTTAACAAATTGGAATCATGTGGGTACAACAATGTCATTTTTACCAACCATGATTGGGAATCGTAGTACCACCTATAAAAATGGTGATGACTGGGGGATGGTTTATAATATAATATAATGGATAGAATAAATATGTATCATTATGTATCTATCTATCTATCTATCTATCTATCTATCTATCTCTCTCTATCTATCTATCTATCTATCTATCTCTCTCTATCTATCTATCTATCTATCCATCCATCCATCTATCTATCTATCTATCTATATATAATATAATATATATATATATGTATATATATGGAGGTTTCCTGAAATGGTGGTACCCCCAGTTCTCATCCATGTTCGGATTTTCCATTATCAACCAACCATTTTGGGGATACCCCTTTGATGGAAACCCCCAAATCAAAGATCCCCAAAATTGCAGCGCCGACGATTCTAATGTGGAAAACATGGATTTCCATCGGTGAGGTGACGACTTGCCATGGATTCTCTGCTCATTGTCCCACAAAAATTCTCGTGATATATCCCCGTCTTTGTGGGTTTCAAGTAGTGTACTGTGAGGACTGCTGAAAGTTGCTTGGGGTTCTATGGGCCCATACAGAAGGATACATCCCGGTAACAGCCTATGTTTCTCCCTTTGCCAAAGAAAACTTTTGGAACATGTTCGAACCTGCTTTTGTACAACGGAAAACTGACATGAAACTCAAAAAAAAATACCATTGAAAAGTTCTTTTCCTTTCCCAAAGCTTCTTTTGGGGGGTCAATTTTCTCTTCCAAAATGACCATCACCTTCTGGAAATGAACCAAAAATTGATTTTTACCGATGATTCAGCCACTGCTTTCCCCCACATCAACGGCGTCAATGGGGGGCCTCAACGATGGACGATGAAGCGAATGCCCCCTTGTTTTTTCTCCTTCACCACCTCCAGAACCAACTGGTGGAAGGCCTGGCGGCCGGGAAGCGGAGGCTCTGAAGTCAAGGTGGATGTGGTTCACCTGTCACCTGCGTTTTTCAAGTAATGGAATGGGCCAAAAAAAACCATGGACATCAATAGACTATAGTGATCTATAGTGACTATAGATCAAGAAAAGCCACCGGAAAGAAACACTGGAAAGTTTCCCCGACTTTTCGATGACCCATTTTTCGCAGGCCTTTTGGCCCTCGCCCTTCAGATGGTTCTGCTGCAAGTTGACTCCAGTGAGTCTGGGATGAGCAGCACAGGCTCGGACAATGGCCTGGGAGAAAAAAGAAACCATCGCTTCATGACATTGCTTTACTCAGCGGACAGGATAGATTCTGATAGATTAGGATTTTTTTTAGATAAAAATTGGTGAATTCACCCAAAACTTGGCAGATGCTTCAACTATGTTCAACTCATGTGTTGACCTTAAGACGAGTTGACCCCACTTCGCACGATTGTTCAACGATTTTGATGCAGATGCCTCATTGTTCCAAGAATCGGCCATGGTAGATCGGTGATTTTTTGTCCCTCAAACTCTGGAATATGGCTACATATGGCTGCTATAGTTCTAAAAACTCAGGAATTAATGAGGAAAAGAAAGGGTATAGTAGCCATTAGTAGCCATCGAAATTCTTTGTAAAGATGGCTACTATACTTACTATACCCTAGGAAAATGCCCCAGGCCGCCCCACTCTGGCCGGGGATTTCCCGCCTCAGCACCTGGAAATCCAATCTCGCAGTGGTTCAAGAAGAGATCCTTCAAGTTGCGATTCAGAAACAGCGCTTCCGCCAAAGCCTGGCTGACGATCCGGATGCCAAAGAACGAAGGACCCAATGTTCCGGTGCTCGCATCGATCAATATTTCTTGTGGATCCAGGATGCTGTAGATATCTTTAAAAAACACCGATTTTCTATAGCTATAGGAAATGTCCTTAAATGTTCCGAAAAAAATGAAATTGCCTAAGAATAATGTGCCCCAAAAGAATTGGTCGTTTTTCTCAGACATTTCCCCGACCAGTTCACGGATCGCAAAAATGAGGCTTAATCCAGTTGGATCCCATCTATCCGATCTATCCGATAGCGACTCTTGTTACTACCTGAAAAATGTTACATAGCTATAGCAGCTATGGAAAATCACCACATTTAGAAACAAAAAAAAACATCATAATCTACAAATTGACAAGTTCAATACCTGCTTGTTAAATCGGAGGGTAAATCCTTAATGATTGAATTCATTCTTCCTAAAAAGATACCCATCCTTCAACGCTGGACCGAGAAAAACCACCATCAACCATCCTTCGCAACGCCATCATCGAGGCGGTCTGAGAATTGCCCAAGTTTTGCCTCCGCCCCCTGGTCACCGAGATTGTTGTTGGTCAGGGTCCTGAGCCAAAAAAACAACTCAGCTGCCAGGCATTCACTGAAAAATGTGTCAAACAATTGTCACTGCAAATCAAAACAAAAAAAGAAAAAGAAACAAGGATTATATACAAGCATAAACCATATGTCCTACCAAAGGTTTATTAAACCATATTACAATAAGACAATATTTAAATGAAACATCCTTCCTTCACTGCAAAAGGATTATGAAAGGAGTGGCCAACAACACTTGGAACATTACTTCCGAAGCCATCGAACATGTGTTTAAGTTTTCTCCCCAAAACAAATCGGTGGACCTTCGGAAAAGCCCATTGAGAAGCCAGGGATCAGAGTCTTAATGCGATCGTTCACTTTCAACTCTTCCGCCAGAGCCTCCCAGGGAGTCAGCAAAAAACATCAAATACTCAGCAATGGCAATGGATCAAAAAGTCTGGTGGTGAACATCATAATATGGTGGCTTCCATAAATGGTAGTACCCCAATAGCTGGTTGGTTTATTTCATGGAAAATCCTATGAAACTGGATTATTTGGGGGTAGCCCACCATTTTCGGAAACCTCCATGGTAGGGAAACCGCCACAAAAACCCTACCATAATGGGGGAATGGCTTCACCATGAAAAATCATGAAAATGGTGATGCTGGGGATGTTAAAAATGGCATTGGCTTTACCAGATTTTCATGGGTAAATAGATGTTCATCTCCCAAGGCATCATGGGATTTGACGCATCCGGATTCTTCAACGAGCGGTTTAGCCAAGTGGCCCCCGACACTACAATGATCCAACTGGAAATGATCGCAGAAATTGAGGTTACCACCCTGGTAATTGAAGATAGCTATTGAAAATGGCCATTGATAGTGGATGTACCTGGTAAAAATTGTGATTTCCCATCGTTTTTTGTATGTTTACCAGAGGGTACCACCCTTTTTGGCCAAATTCTTTATCACCCTTTTCAGAATGGAAATTCCCAGGATCATTGGCCAAAATCGATGGTTCCTTGTAGGAAATGATCTATAGTATTCAATAGTAACCCCCCAAAAAAAAAGTTGGAAACCTGGAGAATCTGTAGAAAAAATCCTCTATACCATCCTGGAATCATGTTTGTCTCTATCTTTTGGGGGATTCCTATAGACTCGTGCTGGTGCTGGATTGGAAATAGCATCATTCTCCGACCATTTTCTATCCAGCGAGATCTCAAGTCGGACCCACACTGATGGTCCACTCTAAGCCGTTGTCGATGATTGTCAAACGCCCCGTGTTCGGACTAGTTGGAACCGGAGCCAAAAAATGTGGGGAACGCTGATATGTCATTGGCTATCCCTCTGCAGATCCGTAGGATGCGATTTTTCTTCGATATCCTACGGGGGATTTGTGTTTTTGGAAGCCCATTTTGGCTGGTCTAATCATCCTTTCTCTTGGGTAAATGATAAATCCCTATCTTTGTTGAAACTAGTTGAAACTCACCCATTTCGTTTAAAATAAACAGTGTTCTCTTCAAATATACCGGTTTCAAAAAAAACCTGCTGTGTACGTGATATATACCACATATCCAAACTATACATATTAATATCAGTTTTATAGCTATATTATATATATATATCATATATCATATATATATGTATATTATATTATCTATATATATATCACGTATAGCCCAGCCTATCCGGTGCTCCCCGCGGTGAGCTTGGCCTGGCCTCAGCCTCATCGGCTCCCAGAGAGCTTTCTGTGAGGTCCAACTCTTTGATGGTTTTCACCGTCAGCACCCGGGTCGTCAGTACCTGGCTGCAACAGGATATGAATCATGGGAAGAGAAAAAGATTTAAAAAACAGTGGGAAATGAATGGAAATGATATTTATGACATACACATGCGTTTTTATGATCTTACGGTGTGTCTCTGGTGTGTCTAAAGGTTGGGTGTACCAGTTTACCCAAGAAAAATGCAAAGTTGAAAACATGAAAAAAAAACCACTGGATGTTGCTAGTACACCACTGGATGTTGCTAGTACCCGATTTTAGACAATGTGAATCATCACTACGTGATTCAATGGATTGGAACGGAAAATCTGAACACCGGGAAACCATCGATTTGGCCATGATTCTATGGGGCTTTCCGGTGAAATTTTTCCCTAACCAATCCATTGAACCATGGTTTACCGTGATTTTTCACTATGAAAATCCGAAAATCCATTAGTGGGGCACCCATTTTCAGCGCCATCAGCGCCACTTTGAAAACGCCACCAGTCCCCACCTGCATCCCCTCCAAACCTATCTTTGACTTCCTGGCCGGGTGTAACCACTGAAGCAGCGAAGAACCCCGTTGAAACGTTAAAAACTAACAATTCACATGATGGTTTGTTGATCATTCATTGAACCATTAAGAAATTTTATTGTTCATATATATATATATTACATATTATTTAGTGATACAATTGCTTATCATTCATTGAACAATAATTTATAATATATAATTGAATCATCTTAGTGTTGTGAAATGCCTTAAGCCTACTTCTAAGCATTAAAAAAAAAGAAAACCAATGAAAAAAAACTTTTTGAAAAAAGGAAAAAAAAACAAGGACTATTTTGAAAAAGCATTTAAACAAAAAAGGATATACATTTATATGCGGCTGCTTTTTTTCGTTTTTTTTCGGTCTGTGTTCCCTCTTTGTTACGCATATTTTTTCGGTGGTTTTTTCATTTGTTTTTTCGTGTTTTTTTCTTTCGCAGGTGACCTGATGACCGGGACCTTCGAAAATGTAAAAAAAAAAAAAAGTGGAAAAAAAACAAAAAAAAGACCGGAAAAAAACGACAAAAAATGGTGTGCTTTTGTTTGCTTTTGGTTTTGCTTTTGGTTTTGTTTTTTAAGTTCATTCTATTTGTTCCATCGTTTCATAGAAGTTGCCTGTAAGCCGTGTCACAATCTTAGTGGTCTCACAGCCACATGAGGTTACACGGGGATCATATGCCATATGGCAATCCTCGTATTTTTGTTGGTTTAACATAGAGTAATCCAAAAAACATGGCATTTTGAAGTCATGCAAAATAGTCATACATCTAATCATGTTTCTATCTGTTTGTGGTTAAAATAATAGACCCATTTTAAGATTCAACGTCAACGTGGGAATCATCAAAAGAGTCCTGTCATCTGTAATATCATTATATAATAGTTCATGACTATAATATATATATATATACATATTAAGATATATATGTCTATACATATACCCTCTGGTAAACTAACATATGGAAAATCACCATTTTTCATGGGTATATCAACTATAAATGGCCATTTTCCATAGCTATGTTAGTTTACCAGAGGGTATATATACATGTGTATCTTATATCCCCATCATGGTTGGTCGATATAGCCATTTTTTGCAGCGTCAAGAACCTGGTTGCTACTGGTTGGTTTTCTGAACGGGAGTCCCGACTCATTGATTGGTTCAGCATCCCAAATAAACTATCCAGCAGAAGCCACATACAACCATCAAACAGCAGGGTAAACTGCTATCATATGCTTGGGAAACTCTATTTGTAGCTCCTTGGTTTCTCATTCATTCTGTAAAAATGTAGGGAATATTCCAGCACCTGATTGCTCCCAGTCTGCGAAAATGTCCATTTCACCGAATCATATAGCTGTCACCAGGTGACGTCAAACGGAGGGTGTAGACGCCACGTTGAACCTTTAAAGCTTCGGCGATGGCCTCGAGCAGATTTTGTTGTCGTTTGGAACGATGAGGCATTGGCTAAGTTGTGAAATGGGGATAATAGGTAGAAAATTGCCGCAAGAGTCATGCATCAAGAGCTGTTGCAATAGGTTTGGGTATGGAAAAAATGCAAGAATCAGATTTCTTTGCATTGTGTTATTTTAATACTTGTATCAATCAGGGGTTTTCCTACCAGCAACCGTGGTTTTTGGAGACGAACCTTCGGTATCTCATAGCCGCCGCCGACTCGGTCGGTAACTCGCCTTCACACGAGCGTCTCCATGGCCCGGAAGCTTCGGGTCCCAAACTTCGCCTCTGAGGTCACTTCCGAGGTTGATCCTCGGGGATGGACCCATGGTTTTCGCCCCATGGCATCATCCCATATCATCCCATGGTTGGTTGTTTAAAAAATCGTCCCCGAAACGAAAGCGAACCGTGGCAGACAGGCGGCATCGGACAGAACGACTGGAGCTCTAAATAGACTCTAAGATCTAAGGGTCGAGGGCACATCATGGCACATCATGGCACATCGGTAGAAAAAGGTGAACCATCCAGGTTTTCCATGAAAGCAATGGGGAAACCATTGGCACCTGGCACTAGCACGCTGATTTTTGGATGTTTCTGAGGTCACAGGAAGCAAACCATCTATTGGTTACGACCTTTTGGGTGGGTCTTCCATCATGTTCCATCTATGTCACCCATCAATGTGACGTAGAAATTAGCATCAAAAAACCGCCTCGGCTGTACATTTCACCAACCAATACACCACCTACATGTCATACCTCACTGTGAAGTTACTACTGGTAGCAATGTTAGATAGTTTATGCTCATCCCCAGAGCATGAAAGGGATTCCAAACAGAATGCTTTGATCTATTTTTTTTCGTGAAAAAACATTAAAACAAATCCCTATGAAAATGAATCGGCCACGATCCCCCTGTCTCGGTTTTTTATCCAACTGTTGACTATGGCACACCTGAACTCACGTCTGTCAACAAAATCCCGCCAGCTCGATGAGAAGCTGGTGATGAAATGCTGCGCTTCTTTTTTCGGCACCAAAAGTGGTAGGTTCACCAAAAGTTTTTCACAATGAAATGGACCAACTGGGCCCATTTCAGATATGAAATATGAATCAAAACTGAAAGCTCTACTCAAGAAAAAACCCTTAAATAATTGGCAATATAGCCAACGCAACATAAAATGTTACATAGATATTATACAGTACACATCAGTACACCTATGATACCCTGAGAAATGAGACCCCTTTTTTCACAGATAAAAAATTCAACCAAGACATTCCACTCAGAGTTTCGCTAAGGGGCAGGGCGGATTGCGTTTCGGTGCCATCCTTTTTCGCAAACATATGTCGATGAGACTCTTTATATAAAAGTGATACAAAAGCTGATCTCAAAACCCATTAACCACTAACCATTGACCATTAGTCATACTGATGCCTCTCTTCAGCCATTAGCCATTAACTTACTAAGAGAAGATGAAGATGACTAAACAAAAACATCAACTGAACCATTTGGAAATTGGGTCCTATGTGCCATGGTCCGTTCATCACTGGGTCCGTTTCTTCAAGGTCTATCATGGTCTTTCAACCTACTAAACATCTTTGGCCAGTGCAAGACAATCGACATCAAAGGGCCCGTGTGACCACGGCATCATTTCACCGTAAGGCAACCAGTTTACCCTACGTCAGGACTGCGAAACAGGGTGAAACCCCACCGTTGATCTCTGATCGGAAACAACGACAAAAAAAACACAAAATGATGGCATCAATCACAGGGAACTTCTATTGCCAGCATCTTTTCTATGGTTTAAGGAGGGTATCACAAGTCGCATCTAAAAATGCATTGCCAGTTGTTGTCTCACTCGGATCATGGAATTTGCCAACATACCCTCTGGAAATTCAAACGTGGCAACACAAAATCATTGCATTAAAAGATTATTTCCCCATCAAAAAGTCCATTTAAAACGTTTGATTGCTGGCGGGTAGAATGAACATGTTCATTGCCATACCCTCTGGTAAACTAACAGTTTGCTATGCAAAATCACCATTTTTAATGGGTAAATCAACTATTTTTATGGGCCATGTTCAATAGAACACTGTTAAATTACCAGAGGGTAGGTTAATTACCACAGGGCAAATTGTGCGAAATACAAATCCCCCCATGGCTTTGTCCAGTCTCTCTCGGACACTGTTCTTGGGTGCTGCAAGCAATTCCTCGCGTTCCAGGGTCAGAAACGAGGTCATAAAAGATAGGATATTTTTTTCTTGCCCACAATGAAGAATATCATTCAAAAAACATCAGAAACCAATTCAATGCGTTTTTCAGACTTGAAAAAACCACCATTTCACATTGGCTTTGCAACACCTTTTCGGTTTTCCACAAAATTTCATGGCTTTTTCCCCAACATTTCCCCTTTTCGATCCTCCATGCAGTTCACAGCCATATAGGCCTCCCCCTGTGCCAGGTCCAGGGGATTGAAGCGCAGCTGCTGGATGGGGCTGTGAATCTCGTTGTTTTCGGTATCCCACACGGAGGAGTCCCTCGCCTGTGAGGATTGGTGTCCCACAAAAGGCGCGAAAAAAAGCGTCATGGTGTGTCAAATGCCATGGGGTAGCAATGTGAAAACCAAGAAATCTCTGGGCCAGGTGGGTTTTTGTTTGGGCCAGGTGGTATCAAGAACTGAAAAGGTACAATGTGGTGCCCCTCAGTGATGTGAACGTTGGTTTAGATTCGCCCCAGTAACTAGTTCGTTATTTGCGTACCATAAACCATAGTTATTGGAGTTACCCTATGGTAATTTAACATAGCTATTGAAAATCACCATTTTTAATGGGAAAATCCACTATTAATGGTCATTTTCAATAGCTATTTTGACATAACCAGAGGGTATTTGCACCAACTGAGCTATCGTGGCCGGGGGCCTCACATTGGAAAGGCGACCGAACCAGATCCCCCCGAACCCAACCAGGAGTTGGCTGAGACCCCGCAGCTACTGCTGGGGGAAAATCACCAACCAAAGCAACACACATCACCAACAAATCAGCAAAGTATAGTGTACCCTCTGGTGAACTAACGTAGCTATTGAAAATGGTCATAGAAATAGTGGATTTTCCCAGCTATAAAATGGTGATTTTCTATAGCTATGTTAAATTACCAGAGGGTAATATGACTTCAATGAACATGTTCTAACATAATGTGATGGGCTAAATTCAATGTCAACCTATTAAGACACAAAATCGCATGATGTCCCATTATTTTGATCATTGTGGAAGCATCAGTTTTCACGCCCGTCTCCTGCATCCCAGAAGGTGTGTCATCGCCCGTGGGTTTTTTCGCTCGGGCGGTCCGTGGTGGACTTCGAAGTTCTTCTTCAGCCAAGGTCTTTGGTGAATCATCCGATAACCTGAAGTTCAATGGAGGATCTGGTTATGACTAACAAAAAGCGATGGAAAATCACCATGCTATTAATAGGTAAACCATCTATTTCTATGGACCATCTATACCATGGCTATGTTAGTCATAACCAGAGGGTACAGGAAAACCCCCTGTTTTTTCATGAAAAAAACGATGGTTTCCGGGTGAGATTTTCGCCAAGAAACCAATCCATTGAGAAGCGAAAACCCCGTCGATCACTTGGTCATAGAAATGATGACTTGTAGATTTTTCGGATGCGACCAAGATATTCAATCATTTTTACATATAATTCACATATATCACTTGTGGCTTTGTCTAAAAATTAGGGAACACTTCAATTATCTGGCAAAAATAAACAGAAAAACACATAGTTATGTTATTTATGTTTGGTACCCCACTATTATTGTTGGTTCTGTTCCCAGTTTTAACAATTATTAAGCATTATTAACCATCATTAACCATGGTCTGGACCATTCTTTTCACAACTATCAACCATGATAAAATCCAACGGTTTAACCCTTGCTGACCATCCCGAGTTGACCAACCAGAAAATATTCACAATTCTTTTAGGAATACATTGCCAAAAAAAACCCAAGCTTTAAAAATGTGTATTTCCACATCAACTTCAAACATCCTCAAACTTAAATCTCGCATTCAATGTCCAAAAAAGTTTCCAACATACCATGGCATACCCTGCCTTTCTTCAGCATACCATGGTTTGCTGGCAAATCCCCCACAGCGAATGATCAGCTGATGACCGGAGGGTAACAGCAACTGATATCCGGTCATAAAATCGACAAGGAATTTCCCGTTTAAAAAATGTTAATGGTGATTGAAAAGTGACTTGACCAACTCTTTCAGACAAGATTTGACCAACGTCTAACCAAATTTGCAATGGTTAAACCATGTTGGTTTAGCCCCATTACGGGAGGCTCAAACAACGCCCAATGGAGTAACCCGAAAAAAATTCAGATGACCGAAGTGGGTGATTTATCACTGTGAATTCAGATGGGATTCCTCTCTCGCTATCTGGTGGGTGCCGCAGAAAATTATCTTCAACCCCACTCATTGACCCACTAAACCTATATTCTCACCGGGTAAAACTGGGCGGCCATGGCCCCCTAGTGCCGACTTGGATGTGCAGGCCCAACCAATCGGATCCGTGGTTATTTCATCCAGAACAAGAACCCATATTTCATCCCATGCCATATTTATATAAATTTATATATATATTATATATATATTATATATATATATTATATATATTATATATATTATATATATTATATATATTATATATATATTATATATTATATATATATTATATTATATATATATTATATTATATATATATTATATTATATATATATATATTTAAAATATTATATTATATATATATATGTTATATATATTATATATATGTGGGGATTTTCCATTAATCTAACTGGTTTTTTTTGAGCCATTTATGATCCATGGGGCCCACACCCTCACGTTGGGATAATATACCCCGATAGTCCCGTTTTGATCCATGGCATCGGATGAAATATATTACTGATGAAAAGTTTCATCCAATAGTTTCGTTGTTCGTCCAGTTAAATCATTCAAAATACCATATTTTGATTGGTGAATAATTCAAAAAACCACTGGTGATCATTGGTTATTAGTTGGGGACTACCATTTTTCCATTGGTTATGAGTTGGGGATTATACAGGATGGCGTCCCCAGTTATAAGTTGGTTTGTAACCATAGTTAAGCCACTTATAAGGCAAACTGAACGCTATCGAACGGGGGGCCCATTCTGTACCAAGCAGCGGAAAGCCAAAGTCGTCCACTTTCGAATCTTTCGAACCTCTTCTGAACTCCTCTCGCTGCTCCACGGCCCAGGCAGCTGCAGCGTTGGTGGTCTCGGCTAAGGCTGCGGGCTCCTCGAAGGCCTCCTCTTTGAACCTGGAAGTGCGAGGAGCGCCTGACTCAAGATGCTTCAATGATATAACAGGTTCAAAGGATTCTTGTCGAATGGATTGAATATGAATTATTTTTTGAATTACTATTTTATATATGATATTGTATATGATATATGATATGGTATATGAATTAAAGATCTAATCATATTTAATCGGCCACAATTATGCAATGGGGGGTATCTGATTTGGGTTTTTCTGAAAATGGGGCTTAGATCCCCATGAAAATTGCCATGTGAACTACGTTTCTATAAAAATTGATTAAACCACCTGATATAACTGTACACTACCTGGGAGTGCAGTTCCACTTAATTTCTGTGGGTACATATATGATTTATATGGGTATGGGTCAATACCTATTAATACCATTTTTAATGGGATGAACATCCATTTACCAGCTATTTTAGGGTTCACTAGGGGTACCAGGGTTTTGACCCATCCCCATATGGCCATCATTATGGGGGTTCTGAATCCGAACTGCTGGGGGTGACATCGCCATGGTTTTACTGTGATCCGTGATACCTCCCAGAATTCTGAGTCAATCTTTTTGGACTCTCCGAGAAGTCCCAATCGAAAATTGCAAGAAACGAAAAGGGGAGAACAGTATTGAAATGGTATTCACTAATGTTCTTAGTAAATACCATCCAATACAACTTAGATGTTCTTAGTGAATACCATCCAATAAAGATTATTTTTAGTATTGGATGGTATTCACTAAGAACATCTAAGTAGTAAAATCGTGGAATCACAAAACATGAAGTCATACATGGACAAAAACAAGTCAGGTCAAAAAATCGGTGCTCGAACGGTCAATTTTTTTCCAGAACTTGCGGAAACCGCTCGCCTGACGACTCCCAAGAATTCCAGCCATCCTTCGCGAAGGAGTCGGTTCACCACAAGCGCGTGCAGCTGCGCACGGGTGATCCCTTGATAAATCAGAGATCGGGTGATGAGGTTGGTTTGCCAGTCCCTCACCTGGAACGAAGGAAGGAACTCACCGGAAGGGGAGGTCGAAAATGACGTGTTCTTTGGTGAACATGACGCGGTTTTCAAAAACAGTAACACTTGGATGTACCCTCTGGTAATGTAACATAGCTATTGAACATGGCCATTTATAGTTGATTTATTTTTTTTGAACATGGTGATTTTCCATAGTTATAGTTCAATTACCAGAGGGTAATTTTTCAGCAGTGTCTAACTCCCATTACTATCCTACTATCCCATTACTACCCTCTACACCTTGGCATCCAAAGCAACGCAAATCACGAAGAGATGCTCCAAGCCCTTGGCGTGTTCCACTGTGTCCAGGATCAAAACTTCGCTTCCTTCAGACCCTTCAGACGTCGACAGGATGGAGAAGGAATCCTCGCAGGAAGTGAGCTGGAAGTGTCCTGAGGCTGGCAGAAAAAAAAGATGATGTAGCCGTGTAGCCATCCAATGGCCAATAAAGGAATGGCCGTGATGATAAATAAAGCATGGAAATTTGAGGGACCATTTTCAGACAAGCCGATATTAGTTGCTTTAGAAAAAAATGTCAAATCAATACCCTCTGGTAAACTTAACTAACATGGCTATTGAACATGGCCATAAAAAGCTCGTGGATTTACCCATTGATAGCATGCTGGATCTTTCCATCGTTTTTTGTAAACGTTTAAAGCGGCCGGGTAATTCGGCAATGCCAAAGTGTCGTTGACCAAAGTCTGTGGTCAACTTCTCTTGCAGCGCAGGCTGAAATTTCTCCAGAAAGTCCAGGTCGGGGACCAGAAATGCCAGACGATTATGAAAGCTGAGGCCACTGTAGTTGCACATCAAATGCCCCAAAGCTGCTATGCTGTAAAAAACATACCTGGTCAGAATCTGAGTCAGAATCTGAGTCAGAATCTGAGTCAGAATCTAAGTCATTTTTGAGGTCATGGACCCATGGATTTTCTCCAGTCAATGGATTGATTTCAGGGAAAATCTTCACCAGAAAGCATGGTTTGTTGCCACCAAACAGATAGGGTTTTCTGGTGACAATTTTAAATCAAAAAGCCAACTCCGGAATTAGCGATGTTTCAGTCAAATGGGGGTACCCCCATTTATGGCCGGTAGATTTCATGGAACATCCGAAAATTAAATGGATGAGAACTGGGGGTACCCCCATTACAAAACGGAAACCACCAAAAATGTCACCAGGTACTCAGGTAGGTCTTCAGCTCCTGATTCAAACAGAAATGTCTTCAAGGGTGGACCTGGCGGACCCAATGACGTGACATCCTTTTTGTCAAAGCTTCCCTGGAAGGCAGCAGCGCCCGCCACAATCCTCTTGCTGCTGCGAACCACTTGGGTGAGTTTCACTTCCGGCACTTGAGGAAAATTCAGCCTTGGAACACGCGAACTGTCCTTCAAGAAAAATGCCGTGTCTTTGGAAGGCAAGGAGAAAAAACACAATAAAGACAAAACATGCACCCCCAACTCATGTTTGTTGGTTTATGGATAGGTTTCTGTTGGTTTATAGGCAAAAAAAATGCGTTATGTTCAGCATCACCCAGCCACCCACCTGATGAGGCTTGAGACCTACTCGACAGCAGCACCCGCTGGTGCGTCGGAATCTTCTCCAGAAACTCGCGATTGACGCCTGGACGGAAGATTTCATGCGCCTCATCGATCACCAGTAACGAAAACTCCAGCTGGGCTGCTGCGGCCACCGGCAAAGCCTATGGCCGTGACCCGGTCCCGTAAAACAAGAAAAAAAATATGGAGTTGGGGTGATGGGGCATGTCATTGAAAAGGACCCCACGATATTCTTGCGGCCTTAGACATCTTCCAGTTTCAGTCAGTTCATTAGTTTCATTCATTTCCACGGTCCAATCAACCAAGTTGTAAAATCCCAGAATATTGGCATGGCCATTATTTCCCATGACGACCATGACGCATGCAAGGGCCGCCACCTTCAACCGGTTTCCCTCAACTTCCAAGCTCAGAAAGGAATCATAGGGATAGTGCATCAGGACCATGCGCTTTAAAACATCCAGCTGTATCTCCTCTGCACTCCTTGGCTCTGGACTAAAGGTGCCATCAAAAAATGACACAAAAAATCCCCCATCCGATTCCTCCACAGGAGAAAACATCTTCAAACCTAACCGTTAAACCATTCAAAAAACTCAAAATTGCCAAACATCAATAAGCATCCATTCTAAATCAGCTCTCAAAAACTCACCAATGCCCCCCCAATGCCAGCCAGAACTCAGAAATTGCCCCAAGATGTCCCCAAAAAAACAAGATCATCCACTTAGATTTGCTTACTTAAGTTCAAAACTTTGCAAACTCCTCCAGTCGACATCATCCCCCCATCCATGTCGATCCAAAAAAGAAATGTCGAAAAAAACCCAAGAATCTGCATGAGCCAACGCACAAAATGGAATCCCAGCCCCAAGCTGGGCGCCACAAAGAGCACCTGTCGCTTCTTCGTCCGCAGCTCGTCCAGGACCAAATGCAGAGCCACGAAGGTCTTCCCCGCCCCGGCCACGGCGGAAAGGTGAACGGCGCCGGTGGACAGGGCGGAATGGATGGCACGAAGTTTCTCCTGAGAGAAGTTATGGGAATTTGATTTGGAACGTGAAGGTTATCATGAATCAAATCTCTATATATATATGTATATACATATATGTATGTATATACATATATGTATGTATATACATATACATATACATATACATATACATATACATATACATATACATATACACATATACATATACACATATACATACACACCCACATATAAATATACATATACATATACACATATACATATACACATATACATACACATACACATATAAATATACATATACATATACACATATACATATACACATATACATACACATACACATATACATATACATATACACATATACATATACACATATACATATACATACACATATACATATACATATATACATATACACATATACATATACATCCCGGCGCCTGGTTTACCGCGCGTGTGTTTTGGCATTTTCTCAAGAGTCTTTATGATGACCTTCATGTCTATTTCTTGGTATTTGCAGGACTTTTGAAGCAATCATCATCATGTTTGGTCACAAAATGTGGCTAGTTCCATTGTGTTTTATTTTTTCATCATTTTTCACTTGTATTTGCACGCTTTTGTGAACGCCAGGAGTAGAAAGAGGCTGTTTCAGGATGCCTTGTTTTTTGATGGATTTGCGTTTCGCCACAGGGAGACAACAAAAAAATCGGACTTTTCGGTTTTTCCCGAATGCGTAGCAAGGGTTCCCGTTTCACTCTGGGGGTCTGGGGGTTGAGGGTGTGTTCGCTCGACGTTGCGTTTGTGGTCGCAGCCGTTCGCAACCGTTCGCGCGAACTCCGTATGGCCGTGCCTATGGGAAGTTTTGCAGAGGTGGTCCTTTTTGGAGGTTTCAGACGTCTGGTTGCTTCGTTTCGCGTGGCAGGCGTGGCACTTCGTGACATTCAGACGTGTTCTGCAACGTGTCGAAAATCGTATCGCGTGGCAGGCGCAATACTTTTGCGACGTTTTCAGAAGATGTGTTGCAGTTTTCGTGGCAGGCGCAGCACTTTGGGCGTGTCCATCGTCATTTTTCGTGGCAGGCGCAGCACTTTAGACGTGTCCTTTTGCGTGTTTTTTGTAAATCGCATTGGCAGGGCTGCGTCAAGTGGTGACAAGGTGCAAATTCCGTGGCAGGCGTGGCATTTTCTCACATGTGTTGAAAATTGACGGAAGCCTCGCACGAAACATCGATTTTGATGTTACAAATTTTCAGATTCTAAGGAAAACTCGTCGGAAAACGTCGATTTTGGAGCTGCAAAGTATGAAAATTGGAGGAAGTCTCGCACGAAATGGTCGCTTTGGTGCTCCCACCTGTCTCGTCTCGAGTCTCTGGTTTTCCTGTGGCCTCGCCGTGTCTATGGGGGAAGCTGCAAAACTTGTCCTTTTGTCATGTTGCCAACTGTGAAAATTGGAGGAAGTCTCGTACGAAATGCTGGTTTTTCTGCATCCACGTGTCTTGTGTCGAGTCGCTGGTTTTCCTGTGGCGTCGCCGTGTCTATAGGGAAGCTGGAAAACCTCTCCGATTCGAATGTGTCCAAGCAGGTTGTCATGTCGTTTTGCGTGGCAGGCGTGGCACTTTGTGACATTCCAACCTGTTTGATAACGTGTCGAAAATATCAAGCTTGGAGGAAGTCTCGCACGAAATGCTCGTTTTTTTGCGCCCACGTGTCTCGTCTCGAGTCTCTGGTTTTCCTGTGGCGTCGCTGTGTCTATGGGGGAAGCTGGAAAACATGTCCTTTTCGAATGTTTCCAAGCAGGTTGTCATGTCGTTTTGCGTGGCAGGCGTGGCGCTTTCCTCACTCCACACTCCACACTTTACACACTCCACACTCCACACTCCACACTCTACACACCACACTCTACACTTTCCACTCCAGACTCCACACTCTACACTTTACGCTCCACACTCCACACTTTACACACTCCACACTTTACACTCCACACTTTACACTCCTCACTCCACACTCCACACTTTACACTCCACACTCCACACTTTACACTCCTCACTCCACACTTTACACTCCACACTCCACACTCTCACTTTACACTTACACTCCACACACCACTCCA